ATAATGGAATAGGGCCTATAAATAAGCCATGCAAAAAATTGGGGGGCTAAGAATGAGATAGAACAAAGCCGGCAAGTTACAGCCCAATTCAGAAAGAATAATAATAATAATAATAATATTGTCACCATAATAGAGAAGTCCTACTGTGAAATTAGTATCTCCATAGCCTGCACTGGTGCTGTGTTCACTGAGCTGAACAAAGATGCAGCTCCCTTGCGCCTATTTATTGACACTGTGTACGCAGTTCTTATTGGGCGAATACGCCTACATGCAATGTTTGCTTTGAGGAACTCCGTTGGCTAAAATTATGTGATTATTCATTCTGCTGAGTCACTGGGCTGTATGAAGACGCTTCAGGCCTACCGGTCACCAGGATAACTAGGACAAAGTGACCAAATGAAGGAAAGGCCAGCACATTTTATCGCCATAAAATAAGACTCCAGGTAACCTGTCTGCCATTCGGTCAGCCTGCTTAAAATCTACATATCAGATAAAAAGCGATATCAATTAAAGCCCCAGACTATATTTTGACCAGACGGGAAGAGCAGATTAATTACACATCATTCTAACTGCACTATTCACACATCCGAGGAAATTCAGTTATCTAACAGTTTTACTTTCCAAAATGGGTCTATAAGAAACGTTTCCGGGTCAACTTCGTCAAGCACGCTTATACGAATATTTTTATCTTCAGTAATTTCTCTGTTGTAATCAAACAAACTTCTATGGCTCCTCTGTTCAAGGAACAGCATTGGGTGTAAACAGCACATTTTTACGTGATCCTCCATATCGTGATTCGTTCCCGCCAACATCGAGAGAGATCTGAATTCTAAAAACTTCAACAACAGATCTACAAAGTCATGTTGAACATCTTCGTACAGTTTTGAACAACGTTCTTCGTGGGTCTACTTAATTAAATTCGATTAAGGCTCACACATACCCAGCAGGCCCAGCAGTATAACACACGCAGTCACAGGAGCAAGACACAAAACAAAGCACAATACACACATGAAAGTAGGAAGAATACTCCGACAGAAGAAGATAAGTGTGCCCTCGCGTATTGAGATACGACATAAGGATGACAAATCCTGAACAGTTTTAATATTTTTAATATTTAAAATTTATCAATATATATGACGAGTATATATTTTAGTATACAACAGGGCATGCAATGAAGTAGTTCG